TTCAGGTTTCTAAACTTTCCTTTGAAAAAAATCTACCTTTTTTGTGGTCTGCTTCATACCTTACTTTCATAACTTAGAAAGTATCCTATCTCAGCATTTTCATCAAAATTTCAAATTTAACATCTTGTTGTACTTGGTAATATTTATGTCAGGATGAAACATTATTTTCCTGATTATAAAGTCAATGCAGGCTGTCTACATAAACTGCTCTCTCAGCCCCCTCTCTCACCCTATGACCTCAAATTCATAAGTTAAATTCATGTTAGAGTCCACATCTTCCTTGTCCTCTGTGTCACTTAGGAATGCTTTGGAGTGCAAGTAACTGTTTTAGAGTGGCTTAAACAAATAGGAGTTCTCCCCACATGACAAGAGGTAAGCAGCTGCTCTTGCTAGCTTGGCAGCTCCATGGCAGTGAGACGACCTTTATGAAATTCTCTAAAGTTTCCTTCACTGGAGGTTGACTGTTATTACATCTCCATTCAGAAGGGAAAGTCTGCACCAGTCACTAACCCTTTTATCAGAAAAGCAAAAAATTTCTCAAGTTCTCCTATGTCTCATGCCTAGAACTGTGTCACATGGCTATTTAGGTGCACACACAAAATAAGTTGAATAGTAAGGGCTTCATTTTTTCAGCTTCTGTTTATTTTTGGAGATGGAAAGGAGAGAAGTGGCTTGAAAATGGAAACTGGGGTACCACCCAATATAATGACCAGCATATGATTTATATAGCTCTTTAGTTCCTGAAATTCAGATATATCTTTATTTTATATGTACACATTTGCATGAAATGTACTAACTCACCCACAAAGGAGATAACCCTAAAATCTCAGCAATTCCTATATACGATTAGGAGTCTTAGTACTTTGTGTGGTGTGCAGGCCTCTTGTTTGTGAGGCAGAATACAGGAAGCTCCTGGGGTGTTGGTAGTCCATTTTCTGTTACTAACAAAATACTCCAGATGGTAATTTATAAAGGAAAGAGACTTATTTTGGTTTGGTCCTGGAGCCTATATGTAAAGTCCAAGAGTCTGTTATCACTAAGGGCCTCATATTGCTTTGACTCATGGCAGAAAGCAGAGGACAAGCAGGCACATATGAAAGAAGTATAACATGAGAGGTGACTTTTATAATACCAGCTTTTGTGTTAATGAATCCAGCCCAGGCACTGTGGCCCACACCTGTAATCCCAGCAGCTTGGGAAGCTGAAGATAGTGAGTTCAAAGCCAGCCTGAGCAAAAACGAGGTGTTAAGCAACTCAGTGAGATCCTGTCTCTAAATAAATACAAAATAGGGCTGGGGATGTGGCTCAGTGGTCTAGCGCCCCTGACTTCAATCCCCAGTACCCCTCCAAAAAAACTTAACCTGTTCTCCTGAGAAAGACATTGCTCTGTGGTGTCAGGATGATAGATACCTTTGGGGGAGAGGTGATGTTTGTGAGGCAGAATACGGGGAGCTCCTGGGGTGTTGGTAATGTTTCAGTTCTTGATCTGGGTGCTGGTTAAATGGACATGTTCAATTCTGAAAATTTATTGAGTTGTATACTTTTCTACATATACACTTTTCTTTATATGTATTATACATTAACAAAATATGGGTGTGTGTAAGCTACAAGGAAACACATTTTATGTAAAATGTGAAGAAAAATAAGAACTTCCATTCAGGGAACAACAACAACAACAATAACAACAACAAAAAAAACCCTGCTATATCCTGGTCAGCAAACCATATTCAAAGTTGGAGCATTTGGAAGCCCCACCCTTGTTCTGTCCTCCAGTTTTGCAAAATGCACACCTTTTGCATCCCACTGCTTATTAGAGGGAATTTGGGGTCCAGGGATTGTCATAGGTTGAAGAGCAACAGACTGTTGGTGACACAGGATTTCCTCATTTGTTAACTGGTCAATTCCATGTATGAGGAATTGCAATCAAATAATTTATCTAAAGAGTCTTTTAAGTTGTTTTTATTAAGTTATTTCCAACTTATTTTTTTTCCAAATAAGTAATGTATTATCATATAATCAAAGCAATACTAAAACGTATAAATTTTCAGTCTTGTCAGAAACCCCTGTTCTGAAATTCACCCTGGAATCTTCTATATAGGCAAAACATTGTTTTGAAGCAATTCAAATAATAGCTGAAGAAAAAAGATGTCACCTACAATCCATCTTGCTACCTGTGGCTTCCGTCCTATTTCCTGATACAGCTGCTGTTTCTCTCTCCACTTGCTCTGGTTTCAGCTTGGGTACGCAAAGTAAATTGGTCATTTCAAACCAACAAGGCCACAAGTCGTGGGAATCTTGGACAATTTGGATTGTAGGTTGCAGATAAAGAGAACCCTTTTATCAAGTCTTTTACTTTCTTTAATCAGTGCTTTCAAATCATTTTTCTAATGTATATTTCCCATGTTTTTGAAGGAATTTGCTGAAAGCTACTAAAAAAAAAAAGCCAACAATCACTCATGTTCTATATAGTTCCTGAGATTTCTCCTAGAATACAACTTTGGTTGGCATATGGTCTGTATCCAAGGTCCAATAGGTGACAGCCATTTGACAGTTTTGCTACTGATTAATAAGGGTCACTGATTTTGCAGTTTGGAATAGAGTTGCCATTGGCTACCTTATCCTCCCATTAGCCAATTCCACATTTTAGTTGCTGTTTTTAGCACCGTATTTCTGGTACCAAATTATTTGCTTATTAGGAAAGGGTTCAGCTACAAGTTATAGAGCACCCCCCCACCCCTTAAGTGATTTAAAGGTGGCTTCTCACTCCCAGACCAGATTTGGGCAGGAATGGAAGCAGAGAGATTGGGAAGTTCTATCTCAAGTAGTTCTATATCAGATGGTAGGTAGTTCCTTGGATAGAACAGTAGTAGGATAGTAGAGGTTGAAAGAAGTAAAGGACTTAGGATGTATTTGCTGAAAGATTAATTATAAAGGTAAGAGGATTTAAAAAAAAAACCAAGAAGAGCTCCTAGAATTTTATCTTAAACAACTGAGTGAATAGTAGTGACATTTACTAAAATGGAGGAGACTGACAGAGGTACAAGTTCAAGGGTGAAAACTCAGATTTGGGGAGGGGACTATGTTAAGTCTAAGATGCCAGTTTTCGATGTCAGGTAGGCAGTTATTTAGAAGAGTTAGCAATTACAGGGAGGAGTTGTCCCTAGAGAGATATATATTGGAGTCACCAGTATTTAAATGGTATATAAAGCTTAGGACTAGATGTTAAATAGGGAGAGTGGGTAGATACAGAAAGGTAAAGAACCCTGTGCATTTATATATATATTTATATGTTGAGCAGAGGGGAAGCCAGCAAACTCTAGTCTGAGAGAGAATAGCCAGTGAGACAAGAGGAAGACCAAGAGAGTGTGGTGTCAGGAAAAAAGAGAAGAAAGTGTTTCAGACTAGGAGTGGCTGCCTGATCAATAGCATTGAAATGGCAAGAAAAATAAAAACAGAGATCAAAGAAGAGACCACTAGATTTGCATGGAGACTGCAATTTCAGTGACTGGTAGGAAGCCAGAGAACAAGCTTTTATGAGGATGGCAATGATCTGATAGGAACTATTTGTTGAATCAAAAGAGCAGTGACAGGATAATAATACCCATAGAAAAAGTGGAAGCATCGGTTAAATGGAATGAGGACACTATACACCTATTAGATAATGAATTTCTTCTTTTTTACTTTCACATTTTTATTGGTGCGTTATAATTGTATATAATGATGGGATTTGTTGTTACATATTCACATATGCACACAATATAACAATATAATTTAGCTATCATCAGTTCCCTTTCCTCTCCCCTCCAGATACTGAACTTCTTAAAGGAAAATGTCGTGTCTTATTTGTACCTCTGGTAGCTCCTAGGACAGTGCCTTGTGCTTAGAAGATACTCAGACATGTTATTGAATTAATCAATAAATGAGTAAATGGAGGGGTGGATGAATGATAGATGGATGGATGACTGGTATGTGCAGGGTACCTGGAATAAACTAGATCAAACTAACTCAAACTTCAGAGTAAGGAAAAGGGGCACTAATAGGGTCTCTTTAGGATCCTGGAATTTTTCTCTGGGATAAGGTTGACAGATTTGTTTCTCAGATAAACGTGCAAGAATGAGGCATTCAGTGACAGTTGGCGTTGACCAACTTTCAAGGCATCGGTCTATTAAAGCAGGCTGCAGGGGGGGTTATGGGATCTTCCACCTATCTAATTTGTTTTTGTCTCTCCTATTTTGGATCCAGGCTCCTATGAAAAACCGATTATGTATCTTTCTGGGCACAAGTGTGAGAAGGGTTTTAAAAAGCGAAAGTCTATATTCTTTTATCCATCTGGCCTATAGATATTCGCTGAAGACAATCTTGTATGGGAGCAAAGATGTTAAGGGCAGGATTGCACATGGAATACCTATTCGTTTCTCGAAGTATTTTGTCTTCTCTCGAATTATAAAAGCAGCTCATTTCACGGACTATACTGGAAAGGTGGCATTTGATCTGGGTCGTCCATAAAGTCTTGGTGGGACATGTGAGTTGGTGTTGAGGCTGTCGCGGCTTGTGGGATAGCAAGCAGAATCTGAAAGTAGGCCAATCTGGGAAACGCTGGACTCAAGGCCGGCACCAGCGTCTTCTCGCCGATTCTTAGGAAAGGAATTAAGTTTCCTATTATTTTTCTTTTCAACTTGCAGTCGGAGGAACCGGGGATTCCAAAGATGAGGTGTTGACGTTGGGAGCCAGCTGTAGAGTGCGTCGCGCCCAGATCCGCTAGCCTAGTTCCCACGCCGAACCTGGTTCCTGGGGGCTCTCGGGGTTAATTTGCAACTTGCCAGGCACCTGGAGCTCCCATAGGCCTCAATCGGGCTGGAGCTGGGTGTCGCCGTCAAAAAGACGAGAGCACTGCGTCCGCTGTTCGTTACACGTGGACTCACGTAAGCAGTGCGCGCGGCTGTCCGCGGACAGGGGGTGTGGCCCGACGCATGGGCGTGGCCCGTAGCGCAATGGACGGGTGGGAGGGAGCGCGCGTGCGCAAGCTGGCCGGGGGCGGGCCGAAAGAGAGCGTTCTCGGGACGGGGGCTGGCGAGGCTCACGCTGGAGGGCTTCTCGTCTGCGGCGGGCTCAGTGAGGGTGAGTGAACCCGGGAGGGGCGAGGGCCTGACCTCTTGGTCGGAGATCAGTGGGAGACGCTCAGGCGTCAGCAGCGGGGCGGGATCGGGACCTGGGACCTAGGATCACGGTAGGAGTAGCTGAGTGGGGGACTTGGCTCCGGTGCCATCTCTGGACGCTTTGCAGGGCCTGTCTCTCGTTGCGGAAACCTGTGTTTCTGTCCCGGGCTTTGAAGCTTTGGTCTGGTCGATTTCCGCGCTCTTGCCTGGCCCCTGAGGGCCCGAGGAGGACCTGACTATGGGGCCACCTGTGACGGATAGACACTGTCTCTGGCCAGCCCGAAAGCAGGAGGACCGGAGGCGTTACTCTGACTGCCCTGGTTCCCGCACAGGTCCTGGTGGGCCCAGGGGTTGGCTAGGCTGAACCGAGACGGAGTGGGAAAGCTGGGGAAACAGATTTTCCTTGTTTTAGTTCTCCGGCCGTGGCATTGCTTTCCACGCAGATGTCCCGACCAGAAACTTGGGCGCAATTCTCTCCACCACTCCTTGACCCACCCACATCGAATTCATCCAAAGTTCTCTTTGGATACGTCACTTTTCCAGTCCATCCTGCTGCCCTAGCTGGTTCAGGCCGCCATCGCTGCTCTGGACTACCTCATCCTCCCAACTGATCCCTTGCATCCCTCCTTGATACTCTGCAGGTTGTTAAGTACAAGGGACCTAAAGCTGTGGTTTTAGAACAGAAATCTCACATATCACCTGATTCTTCCCCCCATTCCTTTACCCTTCTTAGAATTCCCATTGCTCTTCCAAGTTCTTATACAGGTTTACAGGCACCTCTGTGACCTGCCCTCTTGGTACTTTACTCAAGACTCAACCATTTCCTTAATACTGTGTCTTCAACTGTATTGAATCTTAGTTCCTAGATTGGACCAAGTCCTTTCTGGGTTTAAGTGTTCATTACAGTTTGTTCCTTATGCTTGAGGCACTTTCCTTTGATTGAAATAATCCTTTTCATGATTCCTGTTTTATTACAGGTGAGAGTTGGGGCTCCTGTGGAACCCAATGGGTCTATTTACTGGCTTCTCCTTCCCAGCTGGCTGTGATCTGTGTGAAGAGTTTGTCTGGGTCACAGTCCTCAGTACCTTTTGCTAATCTGTTCATATGTTACCAGGCTGTTAGTATGTTAGTTAAATGTACAAATGAAGCATGGCTGCTCCTTGGACTCTCCAAATGAACAAACAGATCAAACTATTAAATGCCAATTTTTTCAGAACCAATTCTCAACCCTCAGCCCACACAAAGCTTTCTTTAGCCTAGGAAATTGGTTATTTTCTAAGATCATGGCAGTGATAATGGGGAAAATACTGGTCAGGATTTTCTTTGGCATTGACTCTTTGCACAGGATGCTGGATGTTGGTAAGAGTGACTGCTTTGAGGGTGAATTCTTATCTGAGTGCCCTCCATCCCCCATCATGAAAGTAAAGCTGCCAACAGCTGCTAGGAGGAAGTCTGACTTCAAACTCTCATGTGCTGATAGGACTAATGACACAATGAGAAGGAAGGGTGGACCAGGCACAAACCAGAGGTGGGAGGGCTGCATAGAGAAGTTCCTGCATAGATCAGAGCTTTGCAACAAGGAATCATATGCCTAGGTGCCAAAATCTATTGCCCTGATTGAGATATGCCACCCCCATATCAGTTCAGCAGGATAAATAAAAGACAAAGAAGATAGGGTCCTGGCCCTTAGAGAAGGAGGAAAAGAAAAAAAATGGAAATAAGAACAATATGTGACTATATGCTAAGGTTAAATGGGTGGAGAGGCTGCAGATTGCTGTGAGAGGAGGTAGCAAATGGTGTTGGCTGGAAGAATCCCCAGGTGACATTTGAATAAGACCTGGATAGAAGGAAGAAGGAATGGACAGATGGAACCACTGGAACAAAGCCAGTGGGACAGGAAGAGGCTGCTAGAGCAGTGAGGGGACCTTGGTTCAATACACAGCACCACTGATAATTGTCCAGCACCTCCCTCCCAGGACTGAGGCTGCTCCTCTTGTGAAATGTCAGGCATGGGTTTTGTTCTGCAGTCTCTTCAGAACTCTCTCCTCTTTTTGGATTTTTTTCCAACTTGCGCATTATCTTTCAGGCTGTTTGCCCGTAGCCTTGAGCTAAGTAGTTGGAGTATAGATGATGCAATATGTTCTTTGGGCAGAACAGAAGAGTTTGTTTCCTTTTGACAGTGAGCCATTTAATTTGTTTAGGTGGCAGCCAGATTCCCTGTTCTTATTGTAGCACTTGAAGGTTGTTCTTTTATAAGTTAATAGATTTGGGTTTGTTTTGTGTTTTGATGGTTTGAAACAGCAAACCAAAATAAGACAAATTCAAAATAAATGGTTCTTGGCTTTTTTTTTTTTTTAAGGAATTAGGCATGGTGGTGCACATTTATTTTATTTTTTTTTTTTAAAGAGAGAGTGAGAGAAAGAGAGAGAATTTTTTAATATTTATTTTTTAGTTTTTAGCAGACACAACATCTTTGTTTGTATATGGTGCTGAGGATCGAACTTGGGCCGCACGCATGCCAGGGGAGCGCGCTATTGCTTGAACCATATCCCCAGCCCGGTTCTTGGCTTTTATGCTTCCTTGAAGAAGGGATAATTTAGACCTCTAGTTTCTGTATATGAATCCCTTTGTTGCTTTTTGGTGTTGCCTAAATAGAAAACACCACCACCACCACACATGCATACACATACCCCAATGTTACATACTAAGTATCCAACCATGTAGTTAAAAGAAAGTATGCCACAGGTTCAGTGATTACTCAGCTCAACTGTCTGATAGGTAACTCCAAAGTCTTATCCTCAATTATATTACATCAAAACTTGCATTGGGTCTGTAAAGGTGGGATCACAGTCTCTCAAGGACCATCACACACAGGCTAAGAACCACCAGTTTGTGCCAGGTTGTGCCCAGTGCCAAGAATGTCCTCTCATAGCCAGTCCAGGAAGGGGCACTGACAAGTTATCAGGCAGTTTCCAAGATTGTGTTCATAGTTGTCATCAGCAATGGACAGGGGCCTTCTGAAGGGAGCTTGTGGGAAGAAAACCTAAGCCAGACTAGAGGTGAAGAGGGCTTGCTGGGAAAAAAAGATGTTGGTCATAAATGAGTCTGAAAGACTCTGGAAGAACTGAATCCCAAGTTGTCTGCTATGACCAATAGTGGCTAGTGGCTAGAAGTAACTTGAGACCTTGTTTTCTGGTACCAGGTACTATGGTAGTGGCCTTGTCAGGGTTTGGGCTCTCGTAGTAGGTAAAGTTGAAAGTATGGTTTCTAGTTGCTTCTGGATTATTTTATGGAGATAGGAATTAACTGGAAGTTGGGAGTGATGGCACATGCCTATAATTCCAACAATTTGGGAGTCTGAGGCAGGAGGATTGCAAGTTCGAGACCAGCCTTGGCAATTTAGTGAGACTGTCTCAAAAAAGTTTTTTAAAAGGGCTGGAGATGTAGTTTATTGGTAGAATACCCATGTTCAATCCTTAGTAGTGCGTGTGCGCACACACACAATACACACACTAAAGTATTAACTGGAAACTCTCCTATCCATTTAGTAGTAGAACAAAATTATGAGAGCATTTACATTAAGGACATTTTTGTAAAGAAAAAGATGTTTATAGTATCATTTCAAAGCAATAGAAAGTAAAAAGAAAATCACAATCACTTCTAATCTCATGATTTAAATCAGTCTCCCTCCCTCCCTCTCTTCTTTCTTTCTTTTTGGGGTTGAATCCAGGGGCACTCTACCACTGAGCTGAATATCTAGCCCTTTTTAGTTTGTGTTTATTTTGAGATGAGGTCTTGCTAAGTTGCCGAGGCTGGTTGCCTCAGCCTCCTGAGTAGGTGGGATTACATGTGTACACCACCACACCCAGCCAAGAGAGTCTTTATTAACAACTTTTAGTGTGTATATATACATACATATTTTTATTTGACTGAAGAGAATTATTCTTTATAAACTTGCAGCCTGTTCTTTCATGTAGTCTGTATTGAGCATCTTATTATATAGCACGAGAGATTGCACTACAATGTCGATGAGCAATAAGCCTAGATGCTGCTTTTTAGCACCCTGTGAGTTGCATATCCTAGCTGACTGTTGTCCCCCTTAGGGGAAGGATCATGGCGGGTGATGGGCAGAATGGTTTGGGGAAAATTTGCTAATCATAGGGGCATACTTTCAGGGTCCTATCCCAAGAATCTTTTAAGATGGATGAAGGGCTATGACACCTCTCCTTCCCAGCCTCAGGCTTAGAGAGGAGACAGTGACAGCTTCTGAGCTGTAGGCTGAGTGTGGTGTGTATAAGGGTGGGACCGGAACCTTCTGTTTTATCTTCCCTGCTGTAGATCTGGGGCTGTGCTTCATTTGGCCTCTCCGGAATCACTGACCTTTGTTATCCAGCAGAATTGGCTCTGCCTTTTGGTAACTGACCGTTAGATCAGGTCTTTTCTTCATTTTTATAGGTTGGCTCCTGGCTGACCTTTACCTTCCTCTTTAAGGGCAGCATCTAACCCCAGGAAGGACGGGTACTTCCAGTTGCAACAGTTATCAAAGGCCTCTCTGATCCTTGGTGGGAAATAATGATTCAAATAAAGTACTCCCTGCCCTCAGGGCTGACTGAGTTGTCTAGTTGACCACAATCTCAACTGTAGTGAGACTGGAGAGAATGTGACAGAATCCTAACTACTCTCTCACTTTCCTTTTCAATGCTCTCTCATAGTAGTTAAGTCATTTGCTTCAGTCACAGCCCTGGGAGGTGGATGAGCCTGGAGTTGACATCCTCTTCCTCATGTCCACTGCTGCAGAGGCGACCTTCCTCCTCGTTGCCCTCAGTGTTCCTGTCTGTGGTCTGCCCCACTTTATACCTTCTCCATGCAGCTGCCAGATGAGTCAGTCTGAAGGCTAACTCTCATCTCATCTCTCCGTCATGAATCATTAGTTCTTCCCTATTTGTTGCTCAGAAAATGTCAACCCCCCATGGCCTGGTGTGTGAAGCCTCCTCCAGTGTGACCTGTTGAGCCTTTGCCCCCATCTGCAGTGCTGTCTTTCTGAAAGGGGAAGCTGCTTGTGTTTCTTTTTCACTTGTCTGCCCCTGTTCCCACTGTTCCCCTTCCTTCCCTGTATCTTCCAGGCCCAGCGGAAGTGTCACCATGTCTGTCAGCCTTATCTGACTTTCCTTCATCTAAGGAAACTTCGTGCCCTGTACTCCCAGGGGGTTTTCTTTCTTGAATACACTGCACTCTCTGCCTTTCTTAGTTCTACTCCCAGTTGCAAGTGTTTCTCTTGGAGGACTGGAAGGTTGTAGACAGGACTTATCTCTGTATCCCCCTGAGCACTTGTGGAGCTGCTTGGCCCTCTGAAAGTGTGTCAGGAAGCATGGCAGATTCCCCTCCCCATTTGAGTGATGGGAATCTGGAGAGCCCAAGGTCATCTCCTAGTCTAATGACAGAGTTGGTGTGGCCCAGTTTAACATGCTCTCTTTCCCAGCCTGGCTGCCTCACCAGGTTTCCCAGAAGTGTATTATATCAAGTCTCGAGAAAAATCGTGGCTCTGTACTCTGCCTTCATCTCCTATGTTCCCCACCTCCTAGGTACCGGTGACCATGAGATCCCTGCAGCTACTCAGAGGCCCCTTCCTGTATGGCCTGCTCTGGGCTTTTTGTGCTCCAGGTGCCAGGGCTGAGGAGCCCGGGGCCAATGTTCCCCATCCCAGCAGCGTGGGCCTCGATAAGAACACGGTGCACGACCAAGAGTACGTATTTGGCCAGGACTGGGGTCCAGGGCTTTCCAACATCTGCAGCTGCAGCCAGCTGCAAGGGCACACTTCATCCTCTTTCCTTTCTCCTATTTATGTGGCTCCTTAAAATTTGTCAAGGATGCTGTTTATTCCCTAGAGCCACCTATTAGGTGTTCTATTTCCTTCCTCATTTGTAAATGGTGGCTTAGGATAAATGACTTGCCTGAATTCAGTCTTTCTCTTTCACAACAGACAGGCAGATAGACAGACATGCATAGATAGACACACACAATAGTAGTGGCGGAATCCAGAATATAATTGTTTCTTGACTCTGGCAAGACGTTTTTCTTACTGACACGTTCAGATGTTGAGTCATTTGTCCCAGCTTTTGTCTTGGGCTGGTGGGCCTCACACATTACACTGGGTTATCCTTGAATTGTTTTTAAATTGATGGCCCAAAAGTGTTGTAACAAAATTCTAATGATAAAGAGGAAAACAAACGCATAATCTTACAGGCATAACATACAAGCTGTGCTCTGTCCCTGCCCCTTGCTGGGCTCTGTCTGTGTAGATCAGCCTTGAGTGTGGTCTGCCACTGTTTTTCTGAGCTGGATGAGATTTCAGGTCTTGAACTTTTCAGAGCCCTTAAGGTTTCAGCATGATCTGATTTGTTGGTTTTTAGGCATATCATGGAGCATCTGGAAGGTGTCATCAACAAACCAGAGGCGGAGATGTCCCCACAAGAACTGCAGCTCCATTATTTCAAAATGCACGATTATGATGGAAATAATTTACTTGATGGCTTAGAGCTCTCTACAGCCATCACTCATGTCCATAAGGAGGTAGGTCAGGCAGTGGCTCAGTGGGTGTGTCCTGGAAAGCCTCCCTCTGGTAGTTCAGTCCCCAGTCTTGGTGCCCTGTGCTATCTTTGTGCCTCCATAGTACTGCTTCTCCTTTCTGTTTGCTGCTCTGATGTGCCTCTCCCTGTTCCACAATCCTTCTCTTGGTGACCTGCTGAATCAGAGGCCCCAGAGCTGGGTATTCATATCTTAAGCCAGTACCTGAAAAGATAGGCCACATTCACAGTGCAGAGCAGGGGGTGGAAGAGGTTTTTCATTTGAGAAGAAGGGTGAGTGGGAACCATGGGATGGAGGGCTGTGGCAGATGTCAGATGTCCTGTGATACAGTACAGAGCTAGTTGGCTCTTTACCACAGGCGGAGGAGGCAGGGCCAGGCACTGGCATTACTTCCATCTTCTAGATGAGCAAATGGAAATCAAAATCTTGTGTCTCCAGACTTAATTTTGTCCCTTCCGGCCTCCAGGCCACTAGAGGGGAGGCAAAGTTGGTGATGTAGGCATGATGATAGGAGTGCAGCTTGGGTTAGCCCTCAAGGAGCACTAGCAGTTTTGCACAGGACAAGAACATCATTTTGAGATGATCCTGTGCCATGGGACACAGACTGGTGGATGGAAGCAGAGAAGAAAGGGCAGGTATGGGACATGTGGCAAAGGGAGAACCAGCCATGGGTGTGAATGACCTTAGCTTCGCACCTAGCAGTGAGCCTTGTGGCACTTACTTCTGGAGTAGGGCCATACTTTCTCCTAAAGGTTATAACAGGTTCTGCTGGTTGACAGTGCTTCTTCCTCTTGTTCTGGTCCTGAGGTGTCATTCAACATGTCACTGTTTCCATTTTAACAGGCAGATTGTGCACAAAGCTAGCTCATTTGGGCTGTGAGCTTTTCTTTTGGATGGGTGTGTAGGTCGTGGAATCTATGACTCTCATAGTTCTTTGTAAGCTAGACCCAGGTTTCTTTTAAGAACATGCATTGCTTTGGTAATTAGAAAAGGGCAAACGGTAATCTTTAAAAGGGAATACGCAAGGGCCTGCTTTGACTGCGTCTTTCTTTTAATTGGCATATATAATACCTGAATTGGATTATGATAAACTGACTGAATATTGATACATGAGTTTGTGGATTCCTAGAAATAGCCATGTATTATGATGTTAAAAGAGTCTGTAGATGTGTGTGAGCATGGACGATAACTAGGCACTTCTTCCAGTAAATGTGCAACTCATCACTGTCTAATTTATATCTCGTAGGAAGAGAGTGAACAGGCCCCACTAATGAGTGAAGAAGAACTGATTAACATAATAGATGGTGTCTTGAGAGATGATGACAAGAACAACGATGGATACATTGACTATGCTGAATTTGCAAAATCACTGCAATAAACATTATTTGGCTATCTCCTAGTTATATGCAAATGTGACCCGTGATAATGTGATTGAATACTTTTGGGTAATGCAAAATAACTCATTTTTAACTACTGCTGCGGCATTTTGGTAAAAACCTGTAGCAATTTGTTACACTGGGGTGAAAAAGAGAAATAAAGGAGAAGAGAAATGGGCATTTTGTGGTCCCTCAGTGCTGTTAAATCTCTCAATGGACAAGGGCTTGATGAACGAATCCTCTTAAGTATATGGAATAATTGGAGCTGAGCACTCAGGAACTTAACTGTAGGATATTGCTCATTCTTGATCTTAATTCATGCTACCTGAAAAGTAAGACAATAAGCTTTGCCAAGTGGACACACTTTTCAGTGACAGTGAAGGGATGGAATGAATGCCACATGTTTCCCCTGGTGGGTTCCATCTCTTCGGATAAACGAGGTCAGTATTCTCTAAAGTTCCCCTGGCCTACAGGATCACTTGCTCTGGGTAAGCGGCTATTTGTTAGGCTGTATCAAAGCCACAACATAAGAAGAATGTCAGATATTGAGTTCAGCTGGCTACAGAGGCAAGGATTCTGTATCCTCTCACATTTTGGAAATGATAGACCACTGGCCTAAGCAATTAACCTTTTCAGATTTTCAATATTTTATACAACTACTGCCACACCTTTATACTTTCCTTTCTGTCGTCTTCAACTTGGGAGGAACCTTAATTTAAAGGTGCTCTCTAATCAATAGCAAATATTTTAGCTTTCTTAATATTTGTATTTCACTCTTATTTCCAGGGTTTCCTTTTTGCAATTTGGGGACTATTTGGAATGTAAGGACTTGGTACAGCAGGTTTAAACCATTGGCTGGCCTTAAGCCTAGGTGGGAAGTGAAAAGATCATTCATCAAACCCAGTGATTAACCTGATCCAAGTTCTGTTTCAAAGGAATGTTGTTTAAATTACCTCTTCTAGCCTGAATGGATGAATTCTTAAATTTCAGGAAAGATTAGAAAAGGAAGCTGAAAAATTCCTCAACAGTGTGAGAAATCTCAGTATTTGAAAGTGAGAAGAAGCTACAGACTGTAATTTGGTTTGTTGGATGTGGTAGACATGCTGTGATAGAAAACCCAAAATGATGGTTGAATGGGGGAAAGAAAATGCATAAAATTTGCTGTAAGATGTATAGAGACTTATTTTCTTTATTAAAGTATTCTTGTAAGAAAACTTATGTATTTGTAAAAATGATTTCCTGTGTCAAGTATTTGTGCAATCAGAGCTGACTTGTAAACTATTCTTGTAATATCTCATTATTTTGAAAGATTTATATAATGAATTCTGAATATATGGCCAATAAAACCGATGGGACAAAATAATGTGCAGTTGATTTTATTTGTAGACCACATAGGCCTTTTCCACCATGTGACAGGCCTGTTTGAAAATACCGCTGCTATTCTCTGCTCCTTATTCAGAGACTCAGTATTCAAAGGCCCTTTCCCCTCTCGGGCATTTTTTTTCTTCCAAATGAAATCACTTTTGGTTCTTCATTCTTAAGCCAAATTCAGATTGGGACAGCATTCTCTAGTCGGAGAATATATAGTGTTTTCCTTTTGAATCTTTGTTTTTACTTTGCCAAAAAATATAATTAGCCTTATTGAAAACATTTCAGGCCAAAGCATAGAAGCACAGACTCCCCTGACATTCTGGAAATGACACACTTCTGCCTATTAGACATGAAATTACCATTCCTTTTTTTCTCTCTCTCTTCTAAGACCTTGAACCTTGCATGGCCCGCCTTCATCCAGAGCGGCCTCTCAGAGATGGGTTAATGGCTGGAGGGACCCCAAACTGCTGGTGGCTGGGAAGGAGGCAGCAAGGGAGGGAGAGGAAGAGTTCCTTTCAAGGTAGAACCACCCTATTAATTAGGCAAGATGGAGCCCCTCCCTCCTCCATGGCTGGCTGCTATAGGTACTTGCTCTGTGCTAGCTTTGTGGTCCCGATGGTCTGGCTGCCTTTTCTATACACAGTTCCTCTGATGGGAGAGGGAACTAGGACATTACCTGCTCACTCCTTCATGTCCCCTATGCGAGGCCTTGGCCGCCTCTCTCACAACCTGTCTCAAGAAGTTTTCAGGATGTGTAAGGAACATCCTCACATTATGTAAGAATAATGTACCCAGGGAAGAGTGTGAGCTCTTCCCAGGACCCAGGCAGACCTGAGGGGGAATCCTGGGCCTGCTATTCCTTAGCTGTGACATTTCTAAATTAGTTTTTCATCTAAAAAATAATAATAGAAGTAATAGCTAAGAGAATTAACAAAATAATTTTTTTAAAAAGTTGAGGCACTTAGCATGGTGCTTGTACAGAGCAGATGCTGAATACTTGGTCATTCCTCAGTCTGGCTGAAAAGCCTGCCTTCTTCATTGAAGAGTCGGGACTGGGATTGTAACAACATAACAACATTGGTGACTCCTTTAGGGCAGGGACCAAAGAGTTTTTGCTGCTTCTGTTCTATCATATATATGCTAAGTGAGTGAGTCAATGAATTTCAAGGGAGAAACTGAGAGACTTGTCAGGTGTGATGTGAGGACAGGAGAGCACTAAAGTAGGAACCAGACTGGGGAGTTTCTGCCTCACCTGGTTTCCTGACAGGTGGCTTTCCTGAGCCGCTGCTCTCTCCCACAGCCCTTTGTCAGTCCACAGAAAGCACCAGATCACCAGCCCCAGTAGCACCTTTGTCCTCTCATTAAAAAGGTCTGGGGAAGAAAGGTGAGGGCCTAGAAAGCATGTGAGTCTCTGGGATGGAAACCACCGAGGGCAACTGCTTAAGAACTTGCTTTTTAACTCGGCTACCATTCATTCACCAACAGAGCTTTGAACACTTTTAAGAAAGCAACAGAGACAGATTTTTAAAACCAATGGCAGCTACTAGGTGGCAGGAAAAGGACATCTGTATCCCCAGCTGTAGAAATTCTTTAAGAACAAAACCCTCTCTATCTTCAGTGGCCAAGAGATGTCCTTGGCCCAGCTCTCCAGTCATGAGGGGGGACCAGGCCCAAAGTGGTAGACAGGTGGGCAGCGAGGGAAGAGGGGGCCACTGAGGGGAAGTAAGCTTTTTTGTTCCCTGGAATTCCAAGTGCCAAGGCAGGGATGTGAAGTAGGGAGCTCAAGACAGGTGTCTGTCACATCCAGGCACCCAGCCTCACCTCCTCAGAACACTGGAAGTCAACGCTGAAGGAGGAGGACCAGACAAGCTCTCGCCTTGGAACACCAAGCAGAGGGTAGGGGACAGAGTACCACACAGAAAACAGCTGCCGTGGACTGTGGGTGATCACGTGACTCCCAAAGGCTTGTGGTCAGATGCTCAAGCTACGGGAATGAGGTCAGAAGCTCCTTTTCTGGAGAAGCTGAAACGTCCCCATAGAAAAGGGCAATGTTAAGTCCAGACATATGAGGTTCCTATGCAAAATCATCACAGGGCATTTGCTGTCCAAGGACTTCCAGCCACCTTCTCACTGGGTGACTGGGGAAGGAGATGCAGGGTGGAGGAATGCAAGCAGTAGATCTATGCCCTTGCTGCTCAAGTGTGGGGTAGAGGTCGTGATGGTGAACACCCGCTCCACCCAAGATCAGTGCAGTTTGAATCTACTTTTCAACAGGTCCTCAGTGACTCGTGTGCTCATTTAGATTTGAGAAGCACTGCTCTAGAGAGACAGTCCCCAGGCACCTATTGCTAAGAATCCTAAGAATCCCATTCCTGCTGATCTGACAGATGGCTCCACTCCTTCTTGGAGTCCAGTGGCCTCCCATTGAATTTCTTTCTTATAGCTCTGGTCAGTGTGGTTTCTACCTTGTTTATAACCAAGAGGACCTTATCGATGCATATGGACAAGTCGGGCATGTTGGGGGAACTGTGACACAAGGCAGGCTGAGCTTGCCTGAAGTCTGAGCCAGTTTGCTTCCCCAGCTGCATGCCACCCATAGAAGGTAAGCCTTTTGTGTTCATAAATGCTGTGAGTGAAAAATCTTTGTTAAATGAAAATCCTTCTGCAATGAAATTGTTTCCAATCATTTACTTTTTATATGAAGTCACTCCTCAGATTCTTCCCCAAAGTACCCCTTGTTGAGTTAAACATAGAGTCATAGAAACCTTCTTATTTTTCCACATTAGTCAAGGCCTAGCCCTGCTCCCTCAGATGAGGCTTGTATTGCAATGGCTCCAAGAGACTCCTTTTAATCAAGTGGGAAAGATAACTGTCCCTTCTCCTCTGTGAAGCTCTCACTGCCTGGTCCAGTCCACGGTCATCTGTCCTGTCTTTGAACTTCCAGAGCAGGGGTCTTAAATCTTTTGAGTTTCATGGAACCCTTACAGAATAGAGTTTTCATATGCACAAGATAAAAAACAAAGGGCATCAAAGGGATGAATCATTGAAATACAGGTGTCAAAATATTTTTTTAAAGTAAGTTGTTTAGAAATATATGTTCTTCTTAATTAGCATGGTAAGATCCTGCAGTGGGCATAATAATCCCTGTAATTCCAAAGTAGTGATGACTAAATGATCTGAGAATCTGTAAACTATACTATGTTATGAAAATATAATTTCTACAAATGATGAAGTCATGTTCCACTCATGGCTTTTTGCCTCATTCATAATTCAAGAATACACTAAATTTGTTGAAGTTCATGAAAATAAATACGTAATTATTTTTTAACTCACCCATGTTCATGGGTCCCAAACAGTATCTAGAAAATGTTGTGGACCTGAAGTTCAGAACCCTTGCCCCAGAGGGCACGTGGTCAGTAACATACAATTCACTCATCACTGAAATAAATAAATGTTTATAAAAATGCAAGCCAAATAGATGTGTACTATAGCAAATTCCAGTCCCTGTGATTCTTCCCCCTTCACTCTTACTACTCTGGGATGGTGAGTTTCTATACCAGACTCTCTTCTTGTTCCTGGGACCTCTACCACTCCTCCTCCAGAGCACCGAGAGGGATAAACCCAGGAGGAGTACTCATTTAGTATGTATTGTCAATGCTTGTGATTGTTAATCATTTGTGACACTGCCAACATTTTAAGATTCTGAGATTTTTATTTTAGACCCTGATGCCTGAAACCCCTTCATAAGGACTCTTAATATCTAGCTTGTCATTTGAAGACAAACCACTAGATGGCAGCAGTGGCCCACA